ACATGCCCGCAGCTGGGTTCTGGTTAAGAGGGGTATCTCCCCGGTTTAGGGTTTAGGGTTTAGGGTTGTAGGGTTTAGGGTTTAGGGTTTTGGGTTAAGAGGGTATTTCCCTTGAAGGATTCCCCCTTGAAAGGCTTTCTTTTAAGGGGGGATTTATGAGGGTTACCATAAGTGTTTAGGGTTTAGGCTTCCTTTCTTTAAAGGGGCTTTATGAGGGTTACCATAAGTGTTTAGGGTTTAGGGTTTCTTCCTTTAAAGGGGTTTATGAGGGTTACCATAAGTGAACCAATAAGGGTTTACGGTTTAGGGTTTCTTCCTTTAAAGGGGTTCAATTATGAGGGTTACCATAAGGGTTGGGTTCTGGTTAAGAAAGAGTATTTTTGGGGTTTCTTGGTTGTGGAGTTTTGCATGGTCTTTTCTCCGGGTCTACCAGGGCCTTTATATTGGGAGGAGTTCCTTCCAAGTTACCACAATAAGGAAAGCTGCAGGCCCGTACGAGGGTAGTTTAAACCTAAGCTCCAAAAACAAGAGCCCAAGGCAACTCAGTTGCAGATTGCCATGGGCATCCCGCTCTACAACGTCCCGGACATCCGAAGGTAGGGTTCAGGGGTTTCGGGGTCTTCGGGGTCTTAAGGGCTTGGGGCTGCGAGTTTAGGCTTTTAGGGTTAGGCTTTAGGGTTTAGGGTTTAGGGGTCCCGGGCATCCGAAGGTTCTACGGCATGGACCCAGCGGTCTGCTCCAAGATCGACTTCTTCGCCGTGGACTACCCGCCGATCACTTCGCACTGCTGCGCCTCGCGCATCACCGCCGAGAACCCGGACGAGGACCCCAAACCCCAAACTTCAAACCCTTAAAACCCTAAACCCTAAACCCTAAACCGGCTTAAGCCTTTTGACCCCTAACCCCTTAAACCCTGCCTTAAGCCTTAGATCCTAAACGCTCAGCCCTGAAGCGCCCAAATCCTAAGCACCTACACTTCAAACGCTGCAGCCCCTCAGCTCAGGGGTTCAAGCCCACCAGTGGCAAGATCAACAGTGTTCGCTTCCAGTCAGCCGGCGACTGCTGGGGCTCCCCAGCCGCGTTCTTTTTTGCGAAGTCTCCAGTCCCCAGCCTCCGGGTTTAGGGCGAAGGATTTACGATTTAAGGTTGAGGGCCTCTAGGGCCTCTAGGCTTATATACGGTCTAAGATTCAGGGTCTAGGGTTTAGGGGGTTTAGGGTACAAAGACTCCACTATCCCCAATATCACTGCCTGATATGAGATCGGAACCCCAAAACCCCGGGTCCTGACCCCGTCTCGAACCCCTAGCCATGCCCCAAATATACTGTCCCTCCAAGCTCCCAAAGCCCAAACCAACGAGTCCGAGTATGCTAGCTTTTTAGCAAACCCCGCTGTGACAGTTCTAGAGCCCTTACATAAGCCTTGTAGAACGCTAAGTATCCTTAAGATCTGGCAGGCCGAGGCTATTTCAGCATCTAGAGTCGAAACCCGAAGCGTTAAAAGCTTGAACCTTAAATCTTACACCCTAAAGTCGATTTTGTGTAAATCCTAAATCCCCTGCGCCCCCTGCTAGCAGCTTCATACAGCCCGTTTTGTCTAAGCCCTAAACCCCAAAACCTATATAACTTAAGATACACCCTAAACCCTAAACCCTGGCCTATATATATATATATAACTTAAGATACACCCTAAACCCTAAACCCGATGTAACTTCAGATACCCCTTCCTTACCTAATGCCGAGGCTACTTCAGTGTCCAAACCCTAAGGCCTGCGCCTTACACCCTGATCCGAAACCTTAAACCCTAAACCCTAACCCCTAAACCTTAGACCCTAAACCTGAGACCCTCAACCTTAGACCCTAAACCTTAGACCCTCAACCTTAAACCCTAAACCTGAAACCCTAAACCTTAAACTTTATAAACCTTAAACCCTAGACCCTCTTTAAAAAAACCTTAAACCCTAAACCCTCTCTGATTTCATCTAGCCCAGCTTTGCCTAGCGCCCGAGGCTACTTCAGCGTCGGCCTGAAGGGTGGGATCCACGAGTTCGCGGACTCCCAGCTTCTGGGCTCTTGTTTCGGGGACGTAGGCTTAGGGTTTGGGGTTCAGGTTTAGGGTTTAGGGTTTGGGGGTTTTAGGGGCAGTTTCTCTGGGTTCTTTTTTTTTGGGGACGTAGGTTTAGGATTTAGTGAAGGGTTTAGGGTTTAGGGTTTTCAGGGCAGTTTAGGGTTTAGGATTTAATGAAGGTTTAGGGTTCAGGGCTTAGGGCCTTTAAGGGGCAGTTTAGGGTTTAGTTATGGTTTAGGGTCTAACGTAGTTCAGGGGTTTAGGGTTTTAGGGTAGTTTAGGGTTGAGGGTGTAGGGTAGTTTAGGGTTGAGGGTTTTAGGGTAGTCTAGGGTTTAGGGTTTGCCACAATAAGGACGAATCGGGATCTGTGGTGAAGATGGTTGCCTTGCTTGTCCCTACGCCCTAAACCTTTAAAGCGCCGAAGCTCCAATGGCCCTCAGAAAACCCGAAACCCTAAACCTCCAAATCCCTAAAACCCCTAAAAATCCCTAAAAAAAACCTAAAAATAAACACTAAATCCCTAAGCCCTAAGCCCTAAACTCGAAGCCCTTAACCCTAAACCCTAAACCCTAAACTCGAAGCCCTTAGCACGAAGCCCAGCTTAGCCCTCAAAATCCCTAAACCTCAAAAAAAACTCTGAATCCCTCCTAAACTCGAAACCCCAAAACGACGAAGCCCAGGTTCGGCCACATCTTCGCGAAGGGCCCGAACCGCGAGGCGGCGAGGAAGAGCCTCGCTGGCAATAAAAACGAAGGCGCCAAGAACAGCATTAAACGTATATTATATAACAACAATAATATTAATAAAAATAACAATAATAATCATAATAATAATCATATAATAATAATAATCATAATAATAACAATAATAATCATAACAATAATCATAATAATCATAATAATAATCATAATAATCATAATAATGATAATAATCATAATAATAATAATACTAATAATAATAATACTAATAATAATATTACGAATAATACTACTTGTTGTAATACTACCACTCCATCGGCGAGACCACCTAGGTGGTGATCTTCCTCAGCCCTAAGCCCTCGAACCCTAAACCCTAAACCTTCAACCCTCGACCCTAAACCCTCAGCCCCCCAAGTACCCTTGAATAGAGGCTTAATGGTCCTTAATGGTGGGTACTTAGGTTCGAACCCCAAGCCCTTAAACACCTTAAGTGCGTACACCCCGAAGCAACCCGGTCCCCTTCAAGTGCCCTGAAACCCTAACCTCTGAACCCCCCCCAAGCCCTCAACCCGAACGCCTAAACCTCTAAACCCTAAGCACCGAAACCCTAGCCCTGAACCCCCAAACGTGCCCAAACCCTAATCCCTAAACCCCAACAGAGAGGTCTGCTGGGTCGTCCAAAAACACCAAGCTCTTCCGCCCCCAATTCCCAAACCCTCTAAACCCTAAACCCCTAAACTCCAAACCCCAAACCCTAAACCCTAAACCCTAAACCCTAAACCGTAAACCCCAAGCCCTAAACCCTAAACCCTAAACAGTAAACCCCAAGCCCTAAGCAGTAAACCCTAGATCCTAAACAGTAAGCCCTAAGCCCGAAACGGTAAACCCTAAGCCCTTAACAGTAAGCCCTAAGCCCGAAACGGTAAACCCTAGGCCCTTAACAGTAAACCCTATGCCCGAAACGGTAAACCCTAAGCCCTTAACAGTAAACCCTAAACCCTAAACCAGCCCTTGACCCCGACCCTCCCAGCAATCCCAACGAGGAGTCTCCGCTTCGCGCTCATGAACCTGGACATCTCCGGAGACTGTTTGGGTTTTGGGGTTAGGGGTCTTGAGGGTTTTGGGGGTGAGGGTTAGGGTTGAGGTTTTTTTTTTGATTTTTTGGGGGGTTTTGGGGTTTAAGGGTTGGGGTTTCGGGTTTAGACGTTGAGGGGTTTTGCGGGTAAGGTTTGGGGTCTAGAGGTTTAGAGTTAAGGGGTTTGTCAGGTTGTCTCGTTCCAAAATCAGAGACCCTGAAACAGGGTTTTGGGTCTAGGGCGGGCCATGGATTGGCTTTATCCTTCCAAGAGAAGGTATAGGTTTTTTTTTACGAGGATTTTGGGTAGGAGTTTAGGGTTTAATTCGAGGGTTTCGGGTATGGGGGGGGGGGTCGTAGAGTGAACCCAAAATCCCAAGCCCATGGGGCGTTTTTGGTTAAGGGTTTGGCGACCCTGTAGGAGACATCCGCCATCCCGTGGACTACTTGGTGGACTTGATCGAGACCCAGGAAACGCCAAGAGGGTTTAGGGTTTAGGGCTTAGGGTTCTGAATAGTTGGTATTCCGTCAGAGTCGCTACGGTGTATCCCAGACAGTTGGAGCAGTGCTGGGACTCCCAACACTTGACCCCTGAAGCAGCTGCTGCTCCGAGACCACAAGGGCCTAAAGCCCTGGAGCCGTAAGATCCTGAAGCCTACGCCCTAAAACCCGAAAGCCCCAAACCCCCAAAACCCTCAACCCTGAACCCTAAACCCTAAACGCGAAACCCCAAGCCCTACATCTTGACGCCTCAAACTGAAGGCCTAGAAGCCCATCCCCCTCCCCCACCCCCACCCCCACCCCATCACCCCATCCACCCCCCCTCCCCGACCCCGGAAGGCCTACAAGGACAACACCATCGACACCATGTGGCTCGATGGGCTGATCGCCAGCAAGGCAAGAGCTTAGTATAAGCTGTATACACCCTTAAGCCCGAACGGTTTAGGGTTTAAGGTTCCAGGGTTTAGGTTTTAGGGTTTAGGGTTTGGAGTTTAGATTTTAGGGTTTCGGGCGGGTCCGCACCTTTAGGGGCTTTTAAACCCCTAATCTCCCTCTCACAAAAGAAGGCCCCTGTGGTGTTTGCAGGCCATCTCCCCCAGCACTGGCGCCATGGACGTGGTCTTCTATGCGGCAGTCTTCCGCGCCTTCAGCGCCCTGACACCGTTTCGAAGCCAACCTTAGCTCCCGGTGTGGGGTGTAGCGTTTTGCCTCCGAGCAGCACGGATATATATATATATATATATATCAACTCATACCGTAAACCCTAAACGCCCTTGAAGGATCCCTAAACGGATCCCGTTAAGGGATCCCTTTGCTGAAGGATCCCCTTACAGGATCCCCTTAAAAGGGGACCCTTCTGCATCCCAAGGCATGGTGAAGTCCCGCACACAGGAGGCGCTTGACGCCATGCAGAAGGGCCAGCTGGTCTTGCTTCCAGGTCTTCATTAAGGATTCTACCTTGTAAAAAGGGGGTTTTACGGGGTTTTGTGTAGAGTTTGACGTTCTCTGAACGGAAGTTCCGCAAAGCCAGAAATCCTGCGAAAAACAGCCCCTAACCTTAACGTTTATGGGGTTTTATGGTTTTGGGTTTAGGGTTTTGGGTTTAGGGTTTAGCCTTCGTGGCCCTACCTGGACCCTGAGCACCGGATGAGTACAAGGGGAGCACCAAGGCTTGGCAAGAGCGACACGGATGCCCTCGTCAACTTCCCCGTTGAGCTTCTCGGCTGCAGAACCAGGCATTCTTCTGAGGCTTAGGGTTTAGGGTTTAGGGTTTAGTTTTTTGTTCTTGTTTCTCGGGGGCTTAGGGGTTAAAGCTCGAAGAACCTAGAGACCCCAAAGCAACTTCTTAATTGAGGAATACGTCAAAATAAGGATCATTAGGGATCCCTCTATTTTTTTGAGGTATATCACTGAATTAAGTATATCTTGACCCTGCATAAGCATAGAACCTGAAAAACCCTAAACCCAAAAACCGTCATGGAGTCTCTTGGAAGCTCAGGATCACCTATGATGGCAAGAAGTTTTGCTTTCAGGTCTCGAGGATGCGAAGCGATGCTGGGCTCTTGTTAAGGAACTTCGTTTAAGTTATCATAGGTAGAGGTCTGTAGTGCATCATAGGCTTTCCTTAGGATGGCAACTTCAGCTAAGATCCTACGCCTGCTTTCGAACGCTTAGAGGATGCCTGAGTTGTGGTAGCTCAAAAGTAGGTTCCTCAACTTAAACCCGAAACCCTAAAAGGCCCTAAAACCCCAAACCCTAAGTCCTAAACCCTAAGCCCTAAAC